GGTCCCGGCTGAGGGACACGTGCGGCGTCTAACTTAGTAACGCACCTGTCGAGGGGAATAAAAGCAGTTGTGGCCGCCGGGTTATTTTCAGCATCTCTTTAGCCAGGGGCTGATCCTGCCCGGCTGGAGAGCGAGCGGGAGCCCGGCAGGGCAGGCAGGGCAGGCAGGGCGGCACAGGCAGCGCAAGGTTGGTGCGATCCCAGGAGCCGGGGGCAGGCGCGGTGCATGCCCGGGTGGTTGGGAACTGGGGAGCTGTGTGCTGGTGCGGTCTGCTCGGCGTGGAGGGATTGGTGTGGGAGTGAGGGAACGCACCACGCTGTGGGCTGGCACCCCTGGATGTCCCCCTGCCGTGTGCCCTGGTGTGGGGTGCTCTGGGCAGCTCCCGGGCAGCGAGGGCAGAGGCGCCGACAGGCTGCAAGCCAGGCTGGGCTCTGTGGGAAATGGCTCGTGGCTTCTTTTAGGGTAGGACTAGGTGATCTCCAGAGGTCCCTTCCAACCCCTGCCATTCTGTGCTTCTCCCTGGGGGGTGCTGAGCAGCTCCCAGAGGAGCGGAATGGAGCTCCTTATTTTGGTTGCTTTGAACATCAAGGAGCAGGAGCAGGCCTGAGCTATGCTGGGGCACACTCAGGGTCCCATCTCTCCCCACATCTCACATCTGCCTCCTGCAGTGCTGGGGACCAGCCCAGGATGCAACCCCAGGGATGCAGCAGCATCCCGAAGCCTCCTGGGGGGGATTCTGCCCTATGGTACCTGGCAGGATGCTCTGGTCCCCCCAGCACAGACTTGTCTCCACAGTGGTAGGCCATGGCCACCCAGTCTCACCTCCTGTTCCCTCTGTCCTGGCAGTGATGAACGGGAGCAGCCACTCGCCAACTGCCATCAATGCGACCCCCTCCACCCCCAACGGGTTCAGCAACGGGCCGGCCACCTCCTCCACCGCCTCCCTCTCCACCCACCAGCTCCCACCAGCCTGTGGGGCCCGGCAGCTCTCCAAGCTCAAGCGCTTCCTCACCACCCTGCAGCAGTTCGGCAACGACATCTCCCCCGAGATCGGGGAGCGGGTGCGAACCCTCGTCCTGGGGCTCGTGGTACGTCCGCCCTGCGCGGGGGCTGGTGGGTGATGCCGTCTCTGGGACCCTGCATCCTCCTTTTGGGATGGGGAAGCTGCTAACTGGGGGGAAAAAAAGAGGGGTCCTGTTGGTGGTGGATTGACCTTAATCTGCCCCTCTGCTCCACTCTGGTGAGAACACCCCCCCTTGCAGTGCTGCGTCCAGCTCTGAACGTCCCCAGCACAAGTAGGACATGGAGCTGTTGGAATGAGTCCAGAGGAGGCCACGGAGGTGATCCGTGGGCTGGAGCAGCTCTGCTCTGGAGACAGGATGGGAGAGTTGGGGTGTTCAGCCTGGAGAAGAGAAGGCTCCAGGGAGACCTTAGAGCACCTTTCAGTGCCTGAAGGGGCTCCAGGAAAGCTGGGGAGGGACTTTTGACAAGGGAATGGAGTGATGGGATGAGAGGTGATGGCTTTAAACTGGAAGAGAGGAGATTTAGGTTAGAGATTAGGAAGAAATTCTTTAGAATGAGCTTGGTGAGACACTGGCCCAGGTTGCCCAGGGAAGCTGTGGCTGCCCCCTCCCTGGAAGTGTTGAAAGCCTGGTTGGATGGGGCTTGGAGCAGCCTGGTCTAGTGGGAGATGTCCACCCCCATGGCAGGGGACTGGGACTAGATGATCTTTAAGATCCCTTCTAACCCAAACCAGTCTGAGATTCTGAGAAATGAGAGCTGTTTTTCCAGCATCTCCTGGGATCAGTACAGCACAGTGCAGGGTTGTGTTCCAGTACTGGCATCACCAACAAAGCATCAAGCATGGTTTTCCCTTGAGCACATCAGAGGAGCAGAAAAAGGGGAGAAATAGCAAAGCATCCCCTCGGCAGGGTGCAGGACGGGCGGGGGGGTCATGGCCGCAGTTCTTAGCTTGGGTTGTTCCCACAGAATTCCACCCTCACCATTGAGGAATTTCATGCCAAGCTCCAGGAGGCTACCAACTTCCCACTGCGACCCTTCGTCATCCCCTTCCTCAAGGTGCGTCCCCCCTCTGGGTGTCACGAGAACGTGGGGGTTTGCATCTGCTTTAATGGAAAAGCAGGACTGGGGGGGATGGATTTGGGGCTGCCCACATCACCCCCCAGGCACTCATGTGCCCCCTTGTGTGCGTGGAGTCACCTGAGGCCAGGGCTGTTAGCAATAAAGCGAAGGGCTCAACCCAGCTGGTGACCATTTGCAATTCATTAAAAAATCCCCTTTTCTTCTTTTTTTTTAAAATATATTTTTATTTGCCTTTTAATGTTGTGCTGACTCTGCACTGTCACCCCACTCCAGAGGGATTCACTGTTTGCTGGCACACCTGGCAGCACCAGTGCTGCTGGCAGATGCTCTAGCCTGGCATCGCCTGCCCCTCCTTAGAGGAATAACAAAAAAAAAAAAAAAAGCCAAAAAAGCCCCTTTTCCACCTCTGCCTCCCTGGCCCTCCCGGGAGCAGAGGTCCATGCTCACCGCAGGAATCTGCCTGCAAAGCTGCTGGAGCTGTTTGCTCCTGGCAGGAATGGGCAGAGCTGGAGGGGTGGGATGAGGGAGCCTCCTTGCCAGTCCGTGGAAGCAGGGATGTGGCATATCCCTGGTCCCACAGCTCAGGGGTCCCAGCAGGGACTGGTGGGCTGGGGTGAGCTGGGAGCTGTCCCCGCTGTCCCACAGCCAAGCGCGCAGCGGTCCCGCCAGCCGGCCTGGCACCCCGCTCCCAGCTGTTCCCACCGCAGCATCCAGATGTTTCCCATTATCCTTAACCGCGGCCAGCCGGGCTCGGCGCGCTTCCCAGACTCAGGGGCTTGTTTTTGTGGGGTTGTCGCCCCCAGGCAGGGAAGGGGAGGGTCGGGCCTGGCTCTAACGTGTCCCACAGACGGGGTTGGGCTGCGCGGCAGCTGCTGAAGGAGCAGAGCTGGCAGCTGGGGCGCCCAGCAGCAAAGGGGCTGTCCTGCTTTTTTGGAGGGGATATTAGGAACAAGTTCTTCTTGAAAGGGTTGAGAGGCCCTGGCTTAGGCTGCCCAGGGCAGTGGTGGTGTCCCCCATCCCTGGAGGGGTTTAAAAGCTGTGTGGATGTGGTGCTGAGGGACATGGATCAGTGGTGGCTTTGGCAGTGCTGGGGGAATGGCTGGACGCTTGGAGGTCTCTTCCAACCAAAGCAATTCTGTGATTCGATTATTCAATGTTTCATTCGTGCTGCTCTGTGTCCTCTGAGGGAAGGACACAGTGAGTGGGGGGCTCCCATGGCGTCCTTTGTGCCTGGCGGGGACCAGACAGGCTGGGGACTCCCCTGGGGTGAAGGTTCAGGTCCCCAAGGTGGGCACCATGGCCACAGGGTGGCAGGGGGATGCTGTGAGCAACTGAGTGGTGGGTTGGGGAGGTGTTCTGCTCTCACGGACTGGCCTCTCGCTCCTGTCGCAGGCCAACCTGCCCCTGCTGCAGCGGGAGCTGCTGCACTGTGCCCGCATGGCCAAGCAGAGCCCGGCCCAGTACCTGGCCCAGCACGAGCAGCTGCTGCTGGATGCCAACGCCTCCTCCCCCATGGACTCCTCCGAGCTGCTCCTGGAGGTGGGAGAGAGCGGCAAGAGGAGGACACCAGACAGGTGAGAGCCAGGATGGATGGCGGGGTGTTTGAGCACAGGTCTCACAAGGAGTGCCTGAGGGAGCTGGGGGTGTCCAGCCTGGGGAAAAGGAGGCTGAGGGGAGACCTTCTGGCTCTGCAGCTGCCTGAGAGGAGGCTGGAGCCAGTGGGGATTGGTCTCTTCTCCAAAGGAGCAAGTGATGGGAATAAAGGAAATGGCCTCAAATGGTGCCAGAGGAGGTTTAGGTTGGTTGTTTTGAACAATTTCTCCCCTAAAAGGCTTGTCAGGCCCTGGCACAGGGCAGTGGTGGAGTCCCCATCCCTGGAGGGATTTCAAAGCCATGTAGCTGTGGTGCTGAGGGACAGGGGTTAATGGTGGCCTTGGCAGGGCTGGGTTAATGGTTGAACTTGATGATCTTAAAGGCCTTTTCCAACCAAAACATTTCTGTTTTTTGTGGGGCACATCCCTACCACCCCTCCCCAGGGCAGCAGGCACGGGTACCCATCAGGGACCAATCTCCTCTCCTCCCCCCAGGACCAAAGAGAACGGTTTGGACCGAGACCCTCTGCACCCCGAGCACCTCAGCAAGCGCCCGTGCACCATGAGCCCGGCGCAGCGTTACAGCCCCAGCAACGGGCTGAGCCACCCCCCCAACGGGCTGGGCCACCCCTCGACTGGTCCCCCCTTGCCCCAGCACTACCGCCTGGAGGACATGGCCATGGCACACCACTACCGCGACGCCTACCGGCACCCCGACCCCCGGGAGCTCCGCGAGCGCCAGCGGCCTGCGGGTGAGTGCTGGCATCCCCCCACCCTGGGGCATGAAGGGCTTCTGGGACACCTGCCCAACACAACCAACTCACCACTGGACAACCTGCTGCTGGGCGGTTGTCCACCAGCCACTTCTGCACCACTGATGAGACGAAGGTGGCTCAATCAAGCGTTGAGCTACGAACAGCTCGTTTCAGGTCACGGGCCTGAACGTCGCTTTTGTGGGGTTTTTTTTGGTCATGTTTTTTAATTGTGTTTGTTTAAGATCACTTTTAGAAAATGTTTTTTTGAAAGGTTTTTAATGGCATTGGTTGAGCAACACTTCTAAAACCTGTGTTTTGACGGGTTATTTAACTGCATTTGTTTACCATTTCTTTTAGAAAATAGCTCGTGTTTGATCAAGTCGCCTTTAGTCTCATCATTAATTTTTCGTTTCTCACGTTTGATTGAGTCACCTTTATCTGATTGTTAATTTTTCCTGTGACAAATGGTGTGACTCACACACTTGAACACCCCTCTGTGCAAATAGTTCCCTTGCAAAAATCCAAGCCCTGTGAGCAGAGCTGCTGCTCCCCCGGGGCCTGGTCACTAGACTGGATGAGCACCATGTGTCTCTTGGTGTGCAGTTGTGCTGGCAGCCAGCTGACAGTGTGCAATTGTCCCTTTCTGCTTGGGGGTGAGAAGGGGGTTGAGGGCACCCCCCATCACGGAAAGGGGTGCTGCAGGGGGCTGACCCCTGCCCCATGCTTGCCTTGCAGCAGTGCACGGGACACGGCAGGAGGAGGTGATCGACCACCGGCTCACCGACCGGGAGTGGGCGGAGGAGTGGAAACACCTCAACAATGTATGTAGTGACCCCCACGAGGCTGTCCCACAGGGCTGGCTTTGCCCTCCCCACTCCCTTTCTTTGCCTTCCATCCTCCCCATGTCCCCCCCAGGGCTTTTTTCCCCACAGCCGGAGCGACTCGCTGGCCCCGACATAGCCCAAATCCCCCCGCAGTCCCCCAGTGCTTGCAGCAGAGCCCCATGCTGCACCCTGACATTGGCCCCCCAAACCTCCACAGCTGCTGAACTGCATCATGGACATGGTGGAGAAGACGCGCCGGTCGCTGACGGTGCTGCGGCGGTGCCAGGAAGCCGATCGCGAGGAGCTCAACCACTGGATCCGGCGCTACAGCGATGCTGAGGACATGAAGAAAGGCAGCCCCCCCTCTGCCCGCCCCCCCAGCAGCTCCTCTGCCCCCGAGGCACCCCAGTTAGGTAGTGCCCCTCTCCAGGGTATCCCTGCCTGTCCCTCAGGGATCCGGCGCTCCTGGTGGGTGGGTCCCAAGGGGATGGGATCTCCTGACAGCCTCATCCCCGTGTCTTTTTGCAGACGCTCACCGGGAATTTGCACCGCGGCCCCTCTCCGGGTACATGCCAGAGGAGATCTGGAGGAAGGCTGGTGAGTGCAGGGTGGGCACCAGCACCCATCGGTGCACCGAGCTGGTGGGGTCTCAGCCCCATCCCCTCCTGGCAGGGCTGGCAGGGGGTCAGGGTGGGTTTGAGGTGCGGGGTGGGTGCTCGCAGCCCTCCCTGGCACTGCCGCAGCGGGGGGGAGCGCGGAGCCGGGGCTGGGGTGCCCCGTGCCAGGCTCGGCCGCTGCCTTCCAGAAGAAGCCGTGAACGAGGTGAAGCGCCAGGCCATGTCGGAGCTGCAGAAGGCCGTGTCGGACGCCGAGCGGAAAGCCCACGAGCTGATCACGACGGAGAGAGCCAAGATGGAGCGAGCCCTGGCCGAGGCCAAGCGCCAGGCCTCGGAGGACGCCCTGACCGTCATCAACCAGCAGGAGGACTCGAGCGAGGTGGGGGCCAGTGGGGGTGAGCCAGAGGGACAGGGTTGGTGGCAATGGGGACCCTGGGGACCTGCTCCTTTTGCAATCAAGTTTGCAGGGACTGTGCGTGCGAGTTCGGGTATGGGAGGAAGCACAGTCCAGGAGAGGGGATCACAGTCTGGGATGGGGGTGCATGGTCCAGGGTGCAGGGGTATGGTCCAGGTTAGGGGTGCACAGTCAGGGATGGGGAGGTATGGTCCAGGATGATATGCGTGGTCTGGAATGTGGGCGCACGGTCCAGGATGTGAGTGCATGGTCCAGATGGCATGCGGTGTCCGGGATGGGGATACATGGTCTGGGATCATGTGCGTGGCCTGGGATGGAAGTGCATGGTTCACGATGGAGGTGCATGGTCCGGGGTGGGGTGCACAATCCAGGGCTGAGGTTTGGCTTTTTTCCCCCCCTCTCCAGAGCTGCTGGAACTGCGGGCGCAAGGCGAGCGAGACCTGCAGCGGCTGCAACACCGCCCGCTACTGCGGCTCCTTCTGCCAGCACAAGGATTGGGAGAAGCACCACCACGTCTGCGGGCAGACTCTGCAGGGGCTGCCAGCCCCCACCACCCCCACCGTGGGGCTGCCACCGGCTCCGGGGCAACCCGACGGGGTGGCCACCATTGCCAGCAGCCCCAGCGAGACGGGCTCGGCAGCCGCTTCCCGCGCCGGCACGCCAGGCACCCCGGCTCTGCTGGAGAGCGCGTCCCGCTGAGCCACCCTGGGGATGCCGCCGCTGCCACCACGCTCCAAAGGACACAGACTGCACTTGATGCAACTTCCTCAGCTACCTGACTCATGTGACCTCCGAAACGACCTCTCTAGCTCTCAAATAATCCTCACGGATCCTCAAAACTGGGCTTTAA